CTTTTTTATTTAACATGGCATATTTATATGGCTAAGAGATATGAAGAACATTTTAGTTCAAGAGGGTGATTAGGTCACACTACCGATTAGATCACGATACGCTGCAAGTAGAGACTCTCGTTCTCCACGTAAGGCTCTCTTAAGCCCTTCTCTCTTCATCAGTTCGCTGTATCTCTCGAATTCGGCTACCAGAGCGCTTGGAGTATCAGCATCGGCAATATGATCCTTCAGCTTCTGAGCAACGCGTTCTTCGGCTGGTATCAAGCCATCCTCGATCTTACGCCTCAATCTATTCCATTCATTGTTCCAATCATCATTGCCCAGAGCAACTGCAAATTATTAACGTTTATTTATTTAAAGTATCATTAATTTATACCATTTAATAATTTATTAAATTATAGTATTCATTTCTAATTATTTCAATTTTTATTTGTTAAACAATTCATGAGAAATTGCAAGTACAAAAACTGCTTTATATATTTTAATTATAATATTATCTCCAACTTTTGAAGATAAAAATCAAATTGATTACTTTGTGATTTCTTTATAGAGATAGTAAGAAGAACTATAAATAATTCATTAAAATTATTATGCATAAAATATTTCTAAAACAAAGTTCCTTCCAATGCACCTCTCGTATCATCAAACATTTGGAGCAATTTCTCGATTCCGAGTCCCGATCTCTCACTCGGAGTCAGAAGTTTACTCAATTGGCGATGCTGCGCACGTAACTCAGACATCTGCCTAGAAGATTGCGACTACGTTATTATTACATTCCATGCCGTTTCGTATGCATTAACGCCTACCTGAGGTTTTTGCCGAGCTTCGAGCATTTCTCTGGTACGAAGATCGGTCCGCGCCAAGGATGGAGTGAATGATGCGGCCAGAAAAGCTTCGTTAGTTTCTGCGTTGCGTTCACCCACTTTTCGCATACTGTTGCTCCGAATGCGATCGTTTCATCCTTTGCGCGAGTATCAGTCGTGTCGACCTAACGAATTACATTCCGTAAAACATGCGTGAGAAAACGGTCACTTAATAGCGTTACCGAATCAAATGGTAGGTAACACAAAAAAAATGATTTTACTGAAGCATCTAAAAATTTAAGCAGATATAAATCTAAAAATAATTTTATTGCACCATCAAAATAATTATGTAAGAAACTTAAGCATCACAATTAATGCTACAAAAGTTCTGAAATTCTAACAATCAACTTGAGTGTCCTACATAATTATTTTGACAGTCCAACAAAATTTATTTTTAGATCTAACTAAATTTTTAGATACTTCAGCAAAACTTTTACTGTAAATATCCTTTGATACTTTTTCAAATCTTATTCATCAATAAAAATATCAATGTTTTCATAAACAATGCTTTTACTTTTAAACAATTAGACGTTTCAAAGACTTTTTGCCAAATAAATTGGCAATGAGTGTGCCCTCGAAACGTCTTGACTCTGTAATTGATTATGAATAATTATGAATAATTTAAGGCTAAATTATAGTTGACGTACCGCATCGAGATAATTTTGTATCAGTTGAACCACTTCGTTCCCGATTACATCGAGAAACGATTTCATTCGTTCTTCGGTATACACTGGTCCCCCTAATTTCCATAAATCATCCACGAATACAGAAATAGCTTCACAAGCTTCTTCCACAGCGATCAATCCATCTCTATAAAAGAAACGGAAAATAATAATTGCACATAAAACAGTAATAGGCCATTTACAATGGAGTATTATGTAGTAAATCTTATAAGTATAAGAAATTGATCAATCATAATCGATTATTTTCTTCATATTTGATTACGATTTGATTTTTTACTTATGACTTAAGTTCGTTTCTAGCAACATAGTTTAATTTTAATGTTGGTACAATTAACTCTTAATTTTTTTCTAATTTTAGAGCCAGTATTTAAAATCCATTCTTATTTTAAAATCATTCTAAATAATGTCATAATACGACTGATTAGCTTATGATATCATAATATTGTACTTAGAACGTCTTAAATATAAGAATCAACATATCGACCTAAGAATTAGAAAAAGATAAAAAGTAAGTTGAACCGAGATATTAAAGTTTAAATTTTAAATTAGTAGAAACGAACATTACTACATTATTTCCACTGTAGACTTTAAGATATACTCAAAGTAACAATGTGTACCTTGACACCGCGGCGCTTTCGAGTTCGATCTTAATGTTCTTCACGGACTTGGCAGCTTCCTCGCAATTCGTTCTCTCGTGCGACCGTTTAGCTTCATCCCTTTTCCGCTTCCAAAATTCCTCTTCCTCCACAACGGTAGTCGAAAATCCGGAGCTGAGTAGTCCCTCCTCCAATTTCTTCAAACAAGACGTACTTAAACCAGATGAACGAAGGGTAGGCGCCCATACCTGACGGAGACCCTCAATCAGTACCGATCCATCCCCGCAGCCGGTAGAAGCCACCTGGACTACGTCGTGAAAGTTCTCTTCTGTTACTGTCGCCGCTGTCACCTGTACGAATTTTCGCACATATAAATAGCATGTTAAATCGCAACTTTCTAGAAAATACTTTCTATCATCAAGAAAGTCACTCGTCATTCGGCGTGACGGTGATTAGAAGTCAATAGTAACTAACTAATACTAACTAAGAGAAATATACGGAAGAATGGATTAAGGAGATTTCAAGAAAAGCAAGAAAGCAAATCAATATATTCCATCGATAAAAGCCTTTTTCTTATTCTTCGTAATCTTCTTAATCTCCTGCATTTATTCATCAATTTTCATAATTAAAATGTTTTTTCTTTTGCAAAGAAGGGTCTCTACCTTAAAGAAGACCAATGTGTTTCTTGTACCGGCGGGCAATTCGGTGCTCAATTTCAAGCGGACTTGGTTCCGGTCGGTGTCGACCGGCCTGGCGCATAGAGTTCTGCACGAGGACTGCTCCAAGAAACGATCGAGGATCTCGCGATCCTCGATATCCTCGTCGTCGTGTTGCACGGACGCGCTGAAGAAGTTCCCCGCCGTAGAGACTATCAGATGCCTACGTTTGTCGGCAACCACCATTTCGTCGTTTGGTTTTAAACGCGTTTTAAACCAAGGAGTAGTATTAAATCACACGGTATACCGTGTTCCATCGTGCTCGTAAAGAACGGTTGCTCGACCCGGTCGTCGTCATCAGTTGTCACGACGACCAACAACCAACACACAACACAACTGTCACTATCGTTATATGCATCATTGCACGTGCGCAGATATGCGTGACGCTCGATTCTGTAATTGTGTTACATATAAAAAAAAAGAGAGAAATCATTCTCTGACGTGAAACATTGTATATTACATAGTAACAAGCGTCAAACCTTAACGTCCTTATTCGCACAGATTTAAGAAGATTATTTATTGAACAGCTATAGAGAAGTTATAGAGAAGTTAAACAAACGGCAAGTTACAAAAGAATATATTTAATCTGCTTGAATCAAAGAAAAAGAGGAACATTATCATTCAAAGCGCATTGATTCTCAATAAACGAGTCATGCTCCATTCTTTAGATAGCAAAATTAAATTATCGGATCTCTAATTGTATTCTTAATTAGTTGTTGCTCACGACATCGGTAAATTTAGAAAGATAACATAAATACACACGATCCATTATTTCTAAAAGTATTGTATACAAACTATATACGAGAGTCCTGATAAAATAAATTTCTCAATGACTAGACATATATTTAATATCTATATATATCCGGATACTTACATAGAATTTATTATTATTAATCTTTCTCAAATGCTTTTTTTTACAATATTATAATTTAATTGTATTTAATTGTATTTAAAGATTACAATTAAATTAAAATATTATATTTAAAAAAGCTTTTATGAATAATATTAATATAAATAAATATAAAATTTTTCTGTAAATGTTTGGATATAGGTATTAAATGTCTGATTACTGAGACGTTTAGAAATTTCAGGCATTTTTTAAACAATTAGTGGATAGTTATATTAATTTTGAATAGCAACTGAGAAGTAAAACTACTTAAAATTCCAAGATGTAACAACTTTGTATACAATTACTGCGGACAAAAGATGCGCAAAATCTGAATCATTTTACTGAACAGAAGCAGGACTAAATGGACTAAATTACACAGTATTTTTTATTAATAATAATCTATTAATACTAACTATCTATCTATATCTATTAATACAAACAGATTTTTGTCCATTTTCTATGCAGTATTGTTACGACTAATAAAAATAATACGTAATATCAGATAATAATTGAATAGGAAACTGCATTTCTAGCAAGGAGTTATAATAAAAATATATAACGTTCAAAAACGTTAGACGCGAGAGAAATCATTTTAATCGCTAAATACATAATTAAATTTTTATAAATGTAATAAATCTTTCTCACGAAAGAGGTAATAAAAATGTTATTGTGAGAAGATACTCCGGAGAAAAGATTTTTTTTCTCTCTTCCTTTTAATTCCGCAAAAAGTTTCAAGATATGTCAAATAATGAGGAGTTATAAAGCATTTCCCGCGCGAGTTCTCTCTCGATTTTCTTTGGCTGCATTATGCGGATGCCTTGTAAATTTATGGAGCGTGCATACTTGCGCCTTACGAGCGCTTATGCGATCGAAAAGTGTGCGTGCGTTGCGGCCGCTTGTACCAAGGCCGCAACGTCGAACCGCCTCTTTTTCGGGCCCGATGAACATGTAACATGATTTTCCACGATTTTCCCATTCGACGCTGTTCAATTTGATCACCTCGTCAGAAAATTTCAGACATCAAGGAGTAAAGAGAATTTTAGGGAAATTTTTGTTTCAAGGACAGAACGGAGGGCTATGATTCAAGTGTTTTCTATCTAGGCGATTAGTCCGGCAACGCCATACGCTCCGATACTGCAAGGTCGACCGCGATGTTTCCTCATCGGCCAGCGACGCCACGATAATGATCCATGGATCCACTCCACAACCTAGATCGCCATATTCCAGACGCTCAGTCACGTCACGAATGCGATTGCGCGAGAGTGTTACTCGATTAGCTGCTCCACACTGATCGAAACGACTCGAGAGAGGGTTCCTGTTTGGTCCTTTTTTTACGAAGTTTTAAGATCGGCGACAACTTTATGTAACAGTCGAACGGTGTTCACGCAGTGAGTCAACCAAGTTATCGTTCAGTAACATTCTTGTAGGAATTGTTGTAGCATAAGCGTGACTTTGGTTCTTATTGTGTCAAACATCATGATGAATATATATACATATATTCATATATTATATTATTGTATATATATATATATATTAGCCCGAAAATAGCAAAAATACGTGAATAATAATTTTTTGAAACAATACAAAAAAACATGGAGATATATCGTAAACTTTCATTGCA